CTGCAGCTGTGGCGGGAGGCGCGACCGGGCTTCGTGCTAGAGCGGCTCTGGGGTTTTCTGCTGGGAACCGCTCCAGTTCTCCGGCTGGTGGGACGTGCGGGGTCGGGGCCGAGTCGCTGCTGTCTGGCGGGGCCGGGACCCTTCGGCCTTTCCTGTGAACTCCAGCCCAAGCTTTGGGAATGTAGGATGGTAGCTACCCCTGAGTCTGTGCTGGCCCAGGCCGCCACCCCACTGGGGAACTAGTTTGGTTTTTCCCCCAAGTGAAAGCAAACGGGAAGCCTGGTAGCGCCTGCCCAGCTCAGAAACCTTAGGAAGGAAGGATATGGGCCTGATGTGGTCCAACACGTTACTCAACAAAACTCCGTAAAAAAAAACGTCAATGCTGTGGCAGATAAAAATAGTTACCGTTTGAGTTTATAATGTCAAGTTATTCAAGGTAGCCCAGCCTCAACCCGGTCGGGTGCAGCTCCAACCTGGCCCCATGGGTGGCAAGGAGACCCAATCCATGAGGGGAGGGGGCCATGCTCCAGCCTCAGCCCATGGTCTGATGGGTGGGCAAAATGCGGCTCGTGGGCTGGATGTGGCCCGCCAGGCTATTCTATCCTGCCTGCAGGGCCCCTTGAAAATTTAGAAAATTAATATTTATCTACCCCTGGCTGCCTGTCATGCGACCCTCAATGGCTTGCCAAAACTCAGTAAGTGGCCCTCTGCCCGAAATAATTGCCCGCTCCTGGGCTAGGACCTAGACACAGGGAAGGGAGCAAGACCCAGCTCTGACCAGCTGTGTGGGGCTTGGGGTTTGGGAATTTGGCAACCGGGGAGGGTGGTAGTCTCTCCTGCTCACTGTCACTGTTTTCCTGCTGCCAAATTTCTCAACCCATGGAGAGCCCCATGGGCCAGATGCCATGGCTCCAAGGGTTGCACGTGGCCTGCGGGCTGGAGGTTGAATACCCCTGATCTTACTGATTTCAGTGTCAGAAGTCTACCTTACACTTATTAGTAGCTTTTGTCTAGGTAACTCCATCTTGTAAGTTGGGAACCAAATATTTAGCTCTTGTAAAAAAACCCAAAAACTAAACATTGTTTAAAAAAAAAGACTAAATATTGTAAACATTTAGCTGTTGGAAAAAGACTCAACTAAACTTTTCTGCCCAATTTGACTTCGCTTTGCAGTCTCAGACCTACTTTGGATAAGTCTGAGCTTTGGTCTTTGTCTCTCTGACGTTCCTATGCTGAGCTAAAGAAACTTGCTTTAATGTACTTGCTTTTTAAAGCTTTTTCACCTAGAATCTTGACAGTGCTGGATTCTCTGGTGTTAGAGGCAGAATTAGAGAGAGATCTTTTTTTCATTATATTATCCAGTCTGATAAAGCATCTTAAGAATTTATCTTTAGCACCTTTCCAGTCAAATGAATTGTAATATCTACTGCAGTATGTCATGCCCTGCCACATGGAATAAAAGTCAGTGCTTAAGTGACAAGGTTCCTTGGGTGAATCTGATATCTTTTATTAGACCAACCCAAATAGTTGGAGAATAGTTATTAAGCAAGCTTTTGGGTTCAAAAACCCTTCATCAGGCTAAGGAAGTTTCAGCAGTTGGTGTGTGCTCTTCCTGGATGGAATGAAAAGTAAACAAGCCAGGGGCTGGGCTGGGGAGTCAGTTGTCAGGCAGGTTAATAACGTGTCATAAATCCAATGTCTATATTTAGTCCATGATTTTTAGTATCCAGGAGGTTGATGAAGTGGAGTTCATAGGCTCGTCTCTGGGGAGCGTTGTGTAAGTTTCCATTGAGGATCAGGACTGAGAGATTGGAGAGAGAGTGGTTTTCTTGTGAGAAATGTGCCCCCACAGGTAATTGGGTATTTCTGTCTTTGATAGATTTCTGGTGTGTGTTCATTTTGGTGCGCAGTTGTTGTTTGGTCTCTCCTACATATTTTCCATCAGGGCATTTGGTGCATTGGATGAGGTATATTACATTTCTGGAGGTGCAGCTGTAATATCCTGGGATGCTGATGGCTCTGTTGTGGGGTGTAGTAATAGTGGGGGTGGTGGAGATGTGTTGGCAGGTTTTTCATTTCTTGTCATGGCACGGTCTGGATCCTTTTGGTGTGTTCTGGGCTTGAGGAAGTTTGCTTCTGGTGATGAGGTTAGCGAGGTTCGGTGCTTGTTTGAAGGCTAGGATGGGTGGCTCTGGGAAGATCTTTTTAAGAATAGTGCTTAAGTGAAGCTTTTTTTTTTTGATTTGTGCCTCTGGCAGCTAAGCATGTGCTTTGAAGAGCTCCTGCATCACTGGAAAGATTTTCTCTAGAGCAAGTTGAGATATGGCTTTTATTTCTCATTGCTGTGTTGTTCAGTAGTTACAGAGAACTCAGACGGTCAACAGAGGTTCCTGCGCCCATAACGGAACCATAACGGCTGGTTCCAGGTGACTCATGCAAGTACCTCTTAAAAGTACAGTTATCCACATCTTCCTTTCCCAGCTAAACGTAATGAAGAATTAATATAAATACAGAATTTCACACACTTATAACCAGTTTATTAACTCAGCTAACTGGCAGTACAGGCAGTCCTCCGACTTACAACACAATTGGTTCCCGAAAACCGCATCTTAAGTCGAAACGTAACTCAGAACCAATTTTCTCATAAGAAACAATGTTATAAATGGGGGATTGGTTCCTGAACCAAGGCCCAATACCCTATTTTCACTAAAGTACCCCAGAATTTTGTACTCGATCAATTATAGATGAGTAAAATAGCTACATTAGTGTATTTATATTGTAAATAGCAGTCATATTGATTTGGAAGGACTTCTTTGAAGCAACTTTGCTGGTCTTTTTGAAGGGTTCTTGGCTGGACTTTTTGAAGGGTTCTTGGCTGGAGTCTTCTCAGGAGTCTGGCTGCAGTTTTTTTCTTGTCTGCTTTCTTAAAGAAAGTGTCCAAGGAAGTTTGGACAGATGGTCTCCAGGGAGATGAGCACTGCAGTGAACTTGTTTGCTGGCATGGTATCACATCGGATCAAGCATTGTAAAGTCGAAACTGATGTCATAAAGTTGAAACCGTGTCAATTTATAAACGTTGTAAGTGAGAAACATTGTAACTTGAAACATTGTAAGTTGAGGATTGCCTGTATTCAGTTAGTTTTTGAGATGTTATTTGCTGTTTTAAGGACTTGTACAACTCCTTTAAAACATCAGCACTAAATTTGTCAAAGAGTGGTAGTCCTTTAGTTCTGGTTGTCCCATGTCCTGCAGCTTAGTTTTCTCAGCCTGCTGTAATTATTCCCTGCCTGATATGATCTTGGGCAAAAAGAAACTCCTTAGTGCCTTTCTCTTCCAGCTTTCTAGGCTTTGGTGAAATTACAACCTAGTTCTCCACTATATGTGTTCACCTGGGGTGAAATCCTTGTGTACAGAGCTGCTTCTTTTAGGATCTTTTGGTGACTGACCAGTTTCCTTTTGTTAGATGCATACAGGGCATGTTTATATGAGACGCTTTATGGTGCAGTAGACTAATCTACTGCTCAGTAACACGTCACCATCTACACAGGTGTACCATTTATTGCACAGTAAATTAGTCTAGTATGCAGTTAACTAACTACATAGAGACGATTTCATCAGGGTGCGGGGCCTGGGGCAAATCAGCCTGTGCGGGGCCTCGCCCCCGGATGCAAGGAAGCTGGCGGCAGATTCAGTGAAGGGGGAGAAAGAAAGGGCGCCACGTGGGGAAACGCGAAGCTGGTGGCAATGCAGAGTTGCCGCAGCCACTCTAGCCGGCTCCACAGGGCCTCCCAAAGCATGGGTCCCAGGGTGGTCACCCCAATTCATCCCCCCTCAGGGATGGCCCTGTGTGTAGTAGATACCGTGCAGTAAATAGTGCATGTGTTGTAGTAAACCCCAACACCAGGGGCCCACAGGGGATGGGGAACCTCCCCCAGTCTTGGTGCCACTCAGCTCCTGGCTTCCCACAGGAGCCAGGAGCCAAGCAACACCGGTGTTGGGGAAAAATCGCACCTTTTAAACCAAATCTTGAAGCTGGCCTAAACAACCACTTCTCAGATTTCCCCCGAAAGGTAAGGTGGATCTTAACCCTGTCTGTATCTATCACTGGTTTAATTAATAATCACTAAGAGGGAGGCTTGTGGTACACGAATGAAACGGTTTATTAAAGAAACACGAAACGGCCACTACGATGTTAGTAATATATATAAAGGACAATGGTAACACCAGTAACAATCAACACTAAGTATTCCTAAGTCCTATAAATCCTATAACCAGAACAAAGGGACAGCAATTATGATTTATTGTACCACCGCCATCCTTGGCTCCATCTGCCTCTTCAGACCCAGTGCCAGGGCTTACCTTACCCTATGACCGGTCACTGGTCTTACACAAGCGTATACAACAGAAAGGATAGCCCACAAAAATATCCCTTCCCAAGGTATGGGGGATACTCACCAACTACTCAGTGAGGCCACTACCAAAGCCCTTATGCACCCGACAGGAAATTGTCAGGGAGCCAACCTCTGACTGAGTATAGCAGTGTATTGAGGGGTGGTCTCTGATTGC